CAAAACGGACGATGCGACATGACTCAGAGATCATCACAGACGCAACGAAAAATGTAACCGAAGGCCATCTGAGCTGTTGTTGTTGTTGTTGTTGTTGTGTTCCCTCCAGCCGCGTCACCGCGGTGTAGCCGTGCGGCTCTGGAGGTCCCTCACGGCGGCCGCCAGGGCCGCCACCTCTCCGTCGTCGCGGACGTCTTCCGGGTTCAGGAAAATCGTTCCGTACATCCGGAGACGCCAGCCCATGAGGGCCGGGCACCGGAAGAAGAAGTGCCGGGGCGTGTGGCCTCCTCCCGGCACACGGTGCACCGGCCCGCCGCACAGTCGGTGTCAGGGCACTGGCGGCAATCATCGGAAGGGTTCCGTCCAATCCGGTGAAGGTATTGGCGGGATCCTGACCAGTGGCCCGCGCGGAGCTGGTGGACGTCGACGGCCGACGATCTGTCCCCCGCCGCGGCCGGCGGCGGCAGCCGGTTCTCATCAGGGTCCGGTACCAGCCCTCCGGCCAGGCGGCGATGGTGCGGTCGCGGGCCAGTCTGGCGGCCGCGCGGTGGGCGGTAGCGACGTCCACCGGGACCGCCGCCTGGGGGAGCGCGGTCGCCTCCTTGGCGATCTGGTCGGCGCGCTCGTTTTCGTCGACGCCGCAATGGGACGGCACCCACTGTAGGTGGATCCGGCGGGACGGACCGGCCAGGGCCGCTAGTTCGGTCCAGATGGCGGCTCCTAGCAGGGTCTTCTGGGACGCCGGGCCCTCTCTCAGCGTCGCGAGGGCCGACTGCGAATCCGAGCAGATGGTGATCGGCGCGCTCGGCTGGTGCGGGTGGTCGCGCAGGTGGTTCAGGGCCGCGCGGAGTGTGACCATCTCCGCCCTGAAGCTCGAGCACCCGGCGGCCTCTGCCCGCGCCGCCGCTGCCGCCGCTGCTGCCTGTGCTGTCGCCGCCGCCTTGCAGCTACTGTATCGAGTGCTTGATCACTGAACGCCGGCCTGTGGCGGAGCCCTGAGTTTGCCGAGCACTGGGCCCCCGCCCCTATGACCCATCCGGGCCAACCTGGGTACCGGTCCCAATTGAAAGGGACCGGTCGGCCGCCCGGGCGGGCGGGGCGCCGGCCTGTCGGGTCGGGTCGGCGCTCCCCTCGCCCGGGCGGTGGTTAGGGGGCACCCCCGGGAAAGATGATTTTCCGGGGGTGCGGGCGGGGGCCCGCGGCCCGTTAAAAAAAAAAGACATTGACCTGACGGACATGTCGGTGACCTGTGAGGAGGACGAGGTGTTCCGTAGCGCCGTGCTGACGGCCGTCACAAAGCTGTATCAGTCGCTGTCGCCGGCCACGCTCAGCAGAAATGACTGAGCCGCGCTAGGGTAAAGTGGCTGGTGTGAGAGGTATTAGTGAACTGTGAGACTGAACTGAGCTGGTGAGATGTGTGACCATGTGAATACCTAGGGAGGGAGGGGAGGGTTAAAGCTGACTGTGTTGTAGACGTGATGCGGAATGTCATGTGTCTTGTTCGGAATGTCAGGTGTCTACACGGGCTGTTGTCTATCATTGTGCGTATTTTTTTTTCGGGTCGTTTGAGACCAGTCAAAAGCTCATCTGAAGCATCGTTCATCTGATGCTTCCCCACTATATCGTCATGCAGTGCATTTGTTTTGTGAGAATATCACTGTTCGTAATAAAAATTAAAAAAAAAAAAAGCTCGAGCAGAGTTGACCGGCAGGGACGCGTAGCTCGTCGGTTGCACCGTCCGGCCACTCCACAAAGGCTCCTGCTCCTCCGCTGCGGACTCCCGCATCCGCCGACCCATCCGTCCAAACCCAGATGGCTTGCTGGGGGAGGGACGCAAGGTGTCTCTGCGCCGCCTGGTGCAGTTCGTCAGGTGGGGCGTCCCGCCGCAACGCTCCGATGTCCAGGGAGAATGTGACGTGTGGGCAGGCGGCCACCTCCCACGGCGGCGCGCGGGCGGGCAGCAGGGGCTCGATCGTGAGCACGATCCCAGCAGCCCGCCAGGTGTCGTGCCCCACCCCGCCCCATCTGAGCTCGTGCGGAACCCTCGTTCAGATACGTAATATCGCTATCTGCCACCTCGCGGTTCCCTTGTCAAGCCGAACTCATAGGCGGCGGAACGGGGAGGGCACCGCGGCACCGTGCCCCCTTTGATTTTGGCATTTTAACATTAGCCCTATGGGCGTTGCATGGAATGAATGGGACCAAAAGTCGGCAGTGCCCCCCTTAATTGAAGGTATTCCGCCGCTACTGGCCGAACTGATGACACGCAATGGCCAGTCAGTCACAGCTCAGCTTCCTGCGGAACACAGGAAGACACATTCAGTGAGAGTCGGTGGTCATTGATTGTGTCAATATTATTGACATGGTGACTAAAGAACGGTTATATTGCGCCAATACTGTTGCCAGTAGCAGCACCACCAATCTTTTGAACTAAAACCACTTGACATCGGTAAAAAGAAACCCTCTAGCTTTTTTTCAAGCAATCCGTGAAATAGAGGGGATTAGAAAAACCGAAAACCCAAATATTAGCACTAGATAACATAGATCTTAAATTTTGGCCAACATTTTTAAAGCATAGGTACATCTGAGGAGCTGTTGGCGGCTTACCGTCGCGTCTGTGATGATCTCTGAGTCATGTCGCATCGTCCGTTTTGTTACGCCCGGTAGTTCAGCGGTGAGTCGCTGGCAACCTGGCTCACTGATTCAACCCCTCCGACGCCGGCGGGCTGTGTGGCGAATCACCTTTTACAAATGTTGGGTATTGATAGCGTCATTCAGCATATGTCGGTAGGCGCTAATACAGAGATTTTTGATGATAACCTGTTTGTTTTCAGGGCGCTGGAATCAGATGAAATAGCTCCCATATAGGAGATAGTGAGGTTGTTGATGGTAGGTATCTGAAGAGTGTTGTTTCCCAACTCAGATTAACTGTAATGTGCCATCGATTGTACCATTTACCGCAACCCTGTCGATACCTATATTAGAAGGCTTGCCTGAGTTACTAATAGTCTTTCATTTAGAGAAAAATATCTATCAGTAATCAAAATCGTTAGGTATGCTGGTTCTGTTGCTCACCCCTTATCTACAGGCTACAGCATCGGCGCGGCGCACGTCTTGGTGATTCCTGCTCTGTTCCTCCTGTTTCGTTTTTTAGCCGTCAACCTTGAAATTTACCACTTTCCTAACAACTCAACAGGAAAAAATGGAACGCGATATTTGGGAAAAATGTATGTTTCCGAATTGTTTTACTTCTTCTTAAGCAGTTTGAACCAAAATAGAAGTCATTTCTCATTTGAAACTACCCCAATTATAACGATATGATAGTGCCCGTTATTGGCAATGTAGGTGGCAGCACCGTCGACTGCGACTTTTTCGCTGTAACTTCGACCTGCCCGAGCCTCGTCAAATCGCATTTTTACGCAAAACCAACTGCAGGGGTAGTGTTTTGGCATGCTCCCGCCAATTTATATCTTTGTCTAACGCGAATCTGTGAGAAAAACCCCTCTGTCGACACACCCTAACCTTCATGCTTCCCTGTTCTCCATTCTCATACACACTGGTCTGACGGTACTGTGACCGGTATGTGACCTGTCATCCTGTCCCAGACCTATGACCGTGTAGTATAACTGTCCTGTTTCAGGTGTTACCACGACCCGCTGGTGGGTAACCCGGCGATGTCCGCGCAGCTCCAGGTAGGTGACACGAATATCCAACTGGTGACGGAGTGAGATTGCTGCTGGGGGAAGGGGGTCCGACCGGGAGGGGCTGCTCGGGGGGCTCCTCTGACTGGCTATCGGCGATAGCTGCCGATGGATGGGTTCTTGTCGCGCGATTGGAAGAGTTGTGACCCATCCATCAATATCTATACCTGAGACGGGGGTGACTGCTGCGTTTTCAACTTTAGACGCTTGCATTTTTTAAACTTGCAAACTTATTGGGGTGACTCTACGTTCAAAACGCGGATGAAGTTGAGCTATTTAGCTTTTATTATTACCGCCTTCATATCGTCCCTGAAAATATTCGTTGTTTAATTAAAAGAGTCGTGGCAAAGTTAACCTGAATAGGGGTGACTTTGCCACCCTGCCAAATAATGATTTTTTAACGCTAATAATTATATACCTATCTTCTCCGCTCCGTCGTATCTATTCCCAGGACACTGAACTCCTTTTTCTTCACGCCGCAACCCCATTCCGGGCTAAACAGGCAACTTTATCTCTTGCGGGCTGCTCCCTTGGAGCGGCACCGCTGCTCCCGAGAGAGAACACCCGCACCCGGGTGCAGCGAGTGCCGGGGTGGGCTGCTCGGCCTGTCCTTTAAGAGGGGCTCAGCCCCGGTGACTCTCTAGGATGTCTGCCCAGACCGATGTCTCCCCCTAGTTCCTATCATCCTTTCCGCTCTGAAATGGTCTTGTCAGACCGAATGGGCCTAACCCAACAAAACAAACAAACGTTAAATGGAAAATGCTGTTTTTTAATGCTTCGTGTGGTCTTTGATGATTTACAGATTATTTGCTCGTTAAAAAACATGCCAGTGTTCCGGCCGACCATCGGCTGATGGAGAGATTCCAGAGGACGCTGGCCGCTCTGCTGAGGAAACAGATCGGGAGGCTGGACCTGGACCTGGTGGAGCTGGTGGGTGACCGGGGGGGGGGGGAGGAGAGGTCTGAGTTGGTGGTTTTAGTGGTGTGTTTGGTCCGGTTCGTTTGGTCAAATGGCTACACTAGGTTTGGGAACAAACCTTACATAGGTAGAGTAGGGACATTACTCTGGGACGAACACGAGAGTCCTGGACCTAGTGGAGAAAAGTGGCTTCTTTGTACTGGTAGGGTGGACTGGAGATCTGCTGCTTTGTGGCTGAACGGGTCGCTGAACTGCCTGAGCTGTTACCAGTCGTGTTCGGTGACCGGAAGACTATTTATGTTCCGTACAGCCCCGATACTGGTGATTGGATACGGCCAATTCTCACACACCCCACCTAACAAGTCCCCCCTCCCCTCACAGCGGAAGGACCAGCGGTCCCGCACCAAACACGGCGAGTCGTGCGGCGTGCAGCTGTACGAGCGGCAGCTGCAGCTGGCCAGACAGCAGGAGCGGCAGCTGCAGCTGCAGCAGCGGCTCTCGGAGGCCGCCGAGGCGCGGGCAGCTGCCGAACAGACGCTCACCGCCGTCCGACAGAGACATGGCGAGATTGGCGATCGTCTGGAGGCCGACAGGGAGAGGGGTGAGAGGGAGAGAGGGAGGGAGGGAGGGGAGGGTCAGAGAGGGAGGGAGGGAGAATGACAATTAGAGCGATGGAGACGAATAGATGAATCGATACTTTCCATCTCAAACACTGCGGTTGCATTTTATGTTGTTTATTGTATTTTATTATACATGTTATATTTGCGTAGCGTAGCATAACTTATTAGACTATATGTTATAATCGGTGCAAAATTACATCGCGACTTCCTGATTATACATCATATGCAGACCCCAAAAACACACAAGCTACTGTGTTCTGATTCGTCACACCTGCTCCAAATCAACCGTAATATATTCCCTCCTCGTCACTAACCCGCGTCCCTGCGGCGTATTATGTCCATTTTTCTCTGTACCGGTCTGCCTTATTTGCTCACGACATGTCACATACAGTAGGCCCCGCTCGTCGCTGATCGCCCCCTGCCTCTGCGTGACGCCCCCAGAGCGGCAGCTGCGTGCCGACGTGTCTGCTTGGAAAAGAACGACTACCACCTGAAATCGCTGGAGGCGGACGCTGACCGGAGCTGCAGCTGAGACAGAAATGGCGAGAGGGCCGAGGCAGAGATGTCTCAACTGGAGCAGGTATAAACAGAGACAGGTATGGAAGGGGGAGAGGAGAGAGAGAGAG